CCTTGGTAGGAGGAGTGTGGACAACAGCTGCAGGAGCCTTCCTGGATTTAGCCAGAGGCTTGCACAACTACAGTGAAGCTGCACATCAGCAGCCATTAGGGAAATGTAAATCAAACGCAATGAGACACCACTGCATGCCGCCACTGAGGGGGCTACAATTAAAGTGATGGACAATAAACAAGTGTCGGTGAGGATGTGGAGAAACGGAACGTTCCTACATTGTGTAGTGTGAAAGTAAAATGGTGCAGCCACTGTGCAAAACTGTCTGTCAGTTCTTCAAAAGTTAAACACAGTATGTATGGCCCAGCAATTACTCTAGTCTATACCTCAAGAAATGAAACAATATGTTCACAACAAAAATCTGTACATGACTATCCATAGCAGTAATATTGAGAAGAACCAAAGTGGAAACCCAAATGTCATGATAATATGGAACAAAAATGTGATACTCTATATAAGGCAATATTATTCAGCCATAAAAGGAATGAAGTGTCGGTGGCATGCTACAACATACATGAGACTTGAAAACAATCTAAGTGAGAGAAGACAGATACTAAAGGCCCATATTGTATACATATATAGCAATGTATATACTAGAAATACATGTTAGAGGATCACCTAAATGAAGGTGTAAACTTGGCAATGTGAGACAGTAATGAAGAGCAAAGAGATTCCTAATAGTATAAACCGCCCGGAATTCCTGTCCTTGTATCCTATAAACGAGAACGTGCCACACATGTTATTTCCTTGGAGCTTCCTGAACACTATTACATGACTATAGTATTTTCCCCTTTTATAGACGAGGAAATAAACAAAGAGAATAGAGCTACCCAAGATCACACAGCCAGTAAGTAAGAGAGCAGAGGTGAGACTCAGGCAACTCTAGAACCCATACTCTAACACCGTGCATACCACTTATAGAGACATTTCCTTTTTTGCTGGCACTAGTTGATGTTGGCTATGTTATTGAGAAGAGTTTTAATAATAGGAATACTCTGATCTTGATGCTGTTGGTTGCCCCTTCTTTCTGGAATGCTCAGACTCCCTTTGCTTGTGAGATGGCTGCACTCTTCTGGTTCTCATATACTCTGTTTCCTTTTTTTTTTTTTTTTTTTGAGAAGAGTTCTTGGCTTTGTTGCCCAGAGCTACTAGGTGAGGCCTGTGGCGCAGCCAGCTCACAGACCCAAACTCCGGGTTCAGGCAACGTCTGCCAGTGCTCCCGACTAGCGGGACTACAAGCAGCACCACCAGCCGGGATTTCTTTAATTTAGTGGCCAAAGCCATTATAGTAGAGCGGCGTCTGCTCTGCTCAGGCTGTTTCGAACTCCTGCCTCGAGCAATCCGCCTCAGGCCTCCCAGAGTGCTAGGATTCAGGTGAGCCACCGCGCCAGCCTCGGTCTATTTCCTTTGTGGTCCTCTCCTCCTCTGCTCACCCTTCAATGCTGTTTCCCTGAGCTTCCACCATCAGCCTCTGCTGTCTCACTGCACTCGGCCCTTGCCTTGCTTCCACTTCGCCATGGCTGGCACCTCTGCTCCACGACGCTCTATTCTCACACACATGTCGTGTCTTTACGTAGGCTATGGTGAAGGTGAGATCAAAACGGGAAACAGCAAAAAAGTGCAATAGAAAATAGACAAAGCCAAAGTTGTTACTTTTAAAAGAGTAACAAAATGATAACTCTAGGCAAGTCTGATCAAGAAAAAAAGAGCATAAACAAATCACCATAGCAAGAGAATAGCCATAACTTGGCAATGTTTTAATAAATGGACAAATCCTTAAAAACACACTTAAAGATGAACATGTGAGATAGAAATTAATCTATTTTTTATATCTATTAAAGATCTGATTCACGATGAACTATTTCCGCACGAGAAGCATAGCTCAGATAGCTTCATGGGTGAATTCTTAAAGTGCTTAGAAAAAGTATACTAATTTTAACATATTCTTTCCAAAATAGAGGAGGATACTTCCCAACTGATTTTATGAGTCAGTATAACCTTTATACCAAAACCTGATTAGAGTTGGTCCGAGTGGTGTTACAACTAATGGATCACAACATTACAGATTCCTTTGTTCCTTCTCCACTCTCACTGCTCCACTTGACAACTGAAAACGAACAAAACAGGCCGTAGCTCTAGCTCACGCCTGTAATCAGCAGCTCTCTGGGAGCGCGAGGCGGGCAGATTGCCAGGTCAGGAGTTCAAACCAGGCTGAGCAAGAGTGAGTCCAGTCTCTACTATAATAGAAAGAAATTAATGCCAACTTCTATATAATAGAAAAAATTACCGAGGCATGGTGGCGGCATGCCGTAGTCCCAGCTACTCGGAGGCTGAGGCAGGAGGATCGCTTGACCCAGGAGTCTGAGGTTGCTGTGAGCACTCACTCTATCACTCTAGCATGGGCAACAGAGCTGAGACTTGTCTCAAAAAAAAAAACCAAAAAAAAACCAACCCAAAACTGACTACGACATTATAGAAAGAAAAATTACAAGTCAATCTCTCACAGAAACATAGATGCAAATCCGCATGAATATTAGCAAATCCAGTCCAGCAATGTTAAAAAGCATAATACTAAATGGATAAATTTTCCAGAATTATCATCTTGACAGATAAAAAACCCATTGGATAAAATTCAACATTCATTCATGGTAAAAACTCTTAGCAGATAGAATAAAAGGAAGATTTCTTAATCTGGTTAAGAGCATCTACCCTTCTTTTCCACCCAAATCTTTAATGTGATTTACTGAAGCTCCCCCAACTCCTGAGAAATAAGAATGAACAAGCTGGCCACCATCACAAGTTCCTATTCAGCATTAACTGTGGGTCCTAGCCAGTTCAAGAAGTCAAGAAAAAATTAAAAAGGGTATGATTTGGAAAAAATAAAAATTGTCATATTTCAGATGCATGATTGTATACACAGAAACCCAAAGACTCTATGGATAATTACATTAGATTAATGTGTGCATTTAGCAAGGCACTGGGTACAAGTCAATGTATACAAATTCAATTGTATTTTCCCATATACTAAGCACAAATAATTAGAAAATAAAATTTCCACATGATGCCATTTATAATACACAAAATATCAGTCCCAGCAATAAATCTGACAAAGTGTGTAAGTCTTCTAAACTTGAAAACTGTAACATTATTCAAAGCAATGAAAAAGATATAAGACATAGAAGAGGTTATTAATGCTACAGTATATTCATGGATTGGAAGGCAAATCTGTAAAGATTTAAATTCTCTATAATTGATCTATAGATTCCTGCATACCAATCAAAATTCCAGGAATTTTTTTTTGCGGAAATTGATAATCTGATTCTAAATTATAGGAAATGCAAACAGTGCTAAAGAATAGCGCTAGGTAATCTTGAAGATCAAAGTTGGAATTTACGCTATCATATAGAAGACCTATTATAAATCGATTAATTCAAACAGTGTTGATATTGGCATAAAGATAAAGTAACCTATGAAAAAGTAAGAAACCAGAAATGATCATGTGCATGTGCCTTAATTTATGACAAAGATGTGTTATAGTGATACTGGGGAAAGGACAACTTTTCAACACATAGCTGGCAAATTCGATATCCATCTGAAAAAATCATTTTCCTAACAGTACAACACAAAATTTCAATTCCACATGGCCTAATATTACTAAGTGAATAGGAGAATGGCTTATTAGGTAGGTATTTTGTAATGTAGTATGTATTTATATCTGGTAAATCTCAATATTCTCTTTCAGAATCTCTTGAATATTCTCATATGTTATTTTATGAGTGGATATTAAAATAAAAATGTCAGATATAAATGAAATTAAAATAACTGGTTTGGAATTTCATTGGATTGCATTGAATTTATATATTTATTACATTAATGATTGTATACAAAAAAATTCAGGCTGGGTCTGGTGGCTCACGCCTGTAATCCAGCACTCTGGGAGGCAGAGTGGAGGATCCTTGAGCTCAGGGAGTTCGAAACCAGCTGAGCAAAAGGAGCCCGTCTCTACTAAAAATAGAAGAAAGTTAGCTGGACAACTAACATATATAGAAAATTAGTCAGCATGGTGGCGCATGCCTGTAGTCCAGCTACCGGAAGGCTGAGGCAGAAGGATTGTTTGAGCCCAGAAGTTGGAGGTTGCTGTGACTAGCTGATTGCCATAGCATGTTAGCCTGAGAAACGAGTGGATCTGTCTCAAAAAAAAGAAAGAAAAGAAAAGAAAATTCAAAAGAATCTATAGACAAGCACTTATCAGTTTTGAATGGTAAATTTTGAATGGTAAGCATTCGTTGTGCTATTATCTTTTGCTAGCACCAATATTTTTATTTATTTTAGAATTACTACCTTGAATAGGCCAACAAAAGAACTCACAAAATTAATACCTCTGAATGATTACATGAAGGATGAATTAATGTATGCTCTCAATTTTTAAACTAAAAATGCTAAACAGATTCATGCCTTAGGTAATAATTGTTTACTGCCATCAAGAAAGTAGATCTGGCAGGCGGTGGCTCACTGCCTGTAATCTAGCACTCCTGGGGCCGAGGGCGGGTGATTGCTCAAGGTCAGGAGTTCGAACCACCCTGAGCAAGAGCGAGAACCCCCGTCTACTATAAATAGAACAAAATTAATTGGCCAACTAATATATATACGAAAAATTAGCCGGCATGTGCGCATGCCTGTAGTCCCAGCTACTCGGGAGGCTGAGGCAGGAGGATCACTTGAGCCCAGGAGTGAGGTT